CTCAGGGACACAGAATTGTTACTGACAGACACAGAATTGTTACTGAGGGACACAGAATTGTTACTGAGGGACACAGAATTGTTACTGAGGGACACAGAACAGGGCCACAGACACAAACGTTACTCAGGGACACAGAATTGTTACTCAGGGACAGACACAGAATTGTTACTCAGGGACACAGAATCGTTTAATTAAAGAGTATGTCAGACAACATGCAGAGGAGTGGCAGAGGAGGCAATGTTTTAGGAGCGAGCAGACGTGGCAGCAGAGGAAGGGGTCGAGGCAGCACTAGTCGCAGCCAGAGGCCAGTGCTCCCGGTGTCATCCAGCAGCGGTCGTGTCTCCACCGACAACCCTGCCGTCATCGATTGGTTGGCTCGGTCGTCTTCCTCTTCCCAGGTCACCTCTGACACCTACAGCCAACGGTCGGTGGGTACGTCAGACACAACCGTTAGTTGGCATGGCCCGGGAGCAAGCCCACTGAAATCACGTGTCCTCTACCTGCCCCTGTCCTTTGGTGTTCCCTCACCAAGCGAAGTATCGCATGCTGTGGGCTCAGCCCCACTGTACAGTGAGGAAGAGCTAACAGAGGGCGGTCAGGAACGGGGGGAGACATCCGCCTCTTCAGCAGCCAGGCGAAGAAGTAGTGGCGAGGAGAGTGGCTCGGTAGCCGGTCTAGAGACAGGTCTGTCTCCTGACCCACACGCAGCCGAGGGGGCTAGTAGTGAGGCGGAGACCCTAATTGATGATGATGATGAGGCTGATCGCACTTGGCAGCCTCGTCGTCATCAGGCTATTGCTTCCGCATCATCAGGAGAAGAGGGTGGCAGCTTGGCAGCGAGCAAAAACAGTCGGTGGGTTGCCCAGGAGGCAGCAGGGTCGCAGCAGTGTCAGTGGAGGCAAACGGCCACGGAGTACAGCACCAGCTCCACTGCAGCCTACCACCACGGCCAGTAGTGGTGCCGGTGTGCACGGAGGAAGCAGCAGTCAGCCAGTGAGGAGTATCGGGGGCAAAGTTTCCTACTCGGCGGTGTGGCAATTTTTCGTCAAGCCGCCCGAGGAAGTAAACGTAGCCGTATGTCGACTATGTGGCCAGAAAGTCAAGCGTGGCCAGGGGGCCCATGTTGGGACTACAGCGTTGCGGCAGCATATGCAGCGTCGCCATTTGGTGGCCTGGGAAAACCGTGATAAAGATACGGCGGTTCTGCCCGCCCCAGCCCCCGCTCCATCACCCGCTCCGTTACTTGCTCCGTCACCCGACGTCAATCGCCCTCTATCAGCCAGTCAAGGCTCCAACACCTCTGCTGAGGGGAGTTGTCGCTCGTTGGCATCTTCCGCTCGTTCAGATGCTCCTTCTCCTGCTACTCCTCTTCACGGATTCCGTCAGCAGTCTTTCTTGGAATCCGTTTCCAAGAGACAACAGTTTGCGAGCACGCACCCGACGGTGCAAAAGCTGAACGTCCTCCTGTCCAAGTTGCTGGTGCTGCAGTCCCTCCCTTTCCAAGTGGTGGACTCAGCACCTTTCCGAGAAATGATGGCTTGTGCCGCGCCGCGCCGCGGTGGAGAGTGCCAAGCCGTCATTTCTTCGCCAAAAAGGCAGTGCCAGCCCTGCATTCACATGTAGAAGAGATGGTGGGCCAGTCTTTGAGCATGTCGGTCTCTGCCAAAGTGCACGGCAGCGCCGACGTGTGGAGCTGTAACTACGGTCAGGGACAGTACATGTCATTTACGGCCCACTGGGTGAACGTGGTGCCGCACAGCCGCAGCCGCACCAGCAACTTGGACAGGTCACGCCGCTTTTGCCTCCACGTTTGCACGTCCTTGGTCCACAAAAGATGTCCGCCTCTACCACCTCTTCTTTCCGCCGTGTCCTCAGCCGCCACCCCCGTGCCAAGTCCCATTACCCGACCGGCATATCACATGTGCAGGGCGCGCAACGGTGTCACGCTGTGCTGCACCTGGTATGCCTTGGCGAACGTAGTCACACAGGGGAGGAACTTCTCAGTGTAATGAACAGAGAAATCGACAGATGGCTGTCTCCGCGCAAACTGAAAATCGGAACCATGTTGACCGACAACGGAAAGAACATGGTGTCTGCTCTGCGTCAAGGAAGGTTGTGCCATGCGCCATGCATGGCTCACGTGTTCAATCTGGTTGTCAAGCGGTTCCTAAAATCCACCATCCCACTGCAAGACATCCTTAAAATGTCACGTAAACTTTGCATGCATTTCAGCCATTCCTACACCGCAAAGCACACCCTCCTTGAGCTGCAGCGGCAGAACGGAAATTCCACAGCATCGCCTGATCTGCGACGTTGCAACAAGGTGGAATTCAACCCTACACACATGTTAGACCGCCTTTACGAACAGCGAAAGGCCATCACCGATTTCCTGATGTTACAAGCGGATAAAGGTACTCCCCTGTGTAACTTCGATGTCAGCCATTGGCAGCTCATGCGTGACACCTGCCGCTTGCTCAGGCCCTTTGAGGAGGCCACGCTATTCGTGAGTCGGCAGGACTATGGGATGAACGACGTCATTCCTCTGTTGCACGTCCTGGAACAAATGCTGTTAACAATGGCTGGTCAGGGTGCGGTAGACGTGGCGCACAGATCTCAACGCCACATGACCCCTGTGGGGGCAGGACAGGAAGAAGAGGAGGAGGTAGAGGAGGACATTTGTGCTCAGGAAGGAATTGAGTGTGAAATGGGTGGTTTTTCCACTCAGCGGACAGGAGTGGAGGAGCAGGAGCATCTGGTAGAGGAGGAGGAGGAGGAGACAGAGGACCCAGACGCACCGTGGCAGTATGCTGTGGAGATGGAGGCAGGGAGTCCCTCGCATTCCTTGGCACAAATGGCCCATAGCATGCTCGGTTGCTTGCGTAGCGACAGCCGAATAATAACCATCAGACAGAGGGATGACTTTTGGCTGTCCACCTTGTTGGACCCTCGCTACCGTTCAAAAATGGTGGCCTTTTTCACACCTGCTGAGAGGGAGGCCAAAATAACGTACTATAAAAACCACCTATGTAGTCAGTTGGTCTCTGCCTTTGTGCGCCAACGTCCATCCTCAGACACTGTGGGCCCTGTGCGCGCTCGCGTTCCGCTGCCATGGCAGCAGGGGAGGGGTGGGGTGGTAGGAGCAGTGGCAGCTCCACCAGCAGCGGCTGCCTCAGTCTGCAGTCGATGATGAGTAGCTTTCTTCACCAGCGCAGTGAGGAAACTACTACCACCCAGCAGCAGCAGCAGCAGCATCAGGTGGACCTGGAGCAGGACCTCAAACAACAGGCTTGGGCCTACTTGGACAGCACCCTGCCAACCGAGGTAGACAATCCCCTTGACTTACTGGGCAACGAAACTTGACCTTTTGGCCCCAACTAGCTGAATTTGCCCTTGAAAGGCTGTCATGCCCGGCCAGTAGCGTGGCATCGGAGCGCGTGTTTAGTGCGGCAGGAGGTATTGTAACTCCGCGGAGGACACGACTGTCCACCCAAAGTGTGGAGAGACTCACGTTTGTGAAAATGAATCAGGCGTGGATTAGTCTGGATTTCAAACCACCAGTTCCTGACACAACTGACTAAATCCGCCATGAATCATGCCCCAAACATGTGCCACTTTCAGGTCTCCTCACACTGCTGGTGTGTTCCATTTTTTGTCATAGGGTGCTGGCAGATTACGGGCCTCCCATAGCTGCTGCCAGGCCCCCTAATCTGCCATGGGCCCCCCCTGTACCGCCTCCTCATGCTGCTGCTGCCAGTCCAGAGTCTCTCATGGGTCCCTGTACGGCCTCCCATTGCTGCTGTCTCCATCGCCACACTCTGCCATGTGCCACTTTCAGGTCTCCTCACACTGCTGGTGTGTTCAATTTTTTGACATAGGGTGCTGGCAGATTACGGGCCTCCCATAGCTGCTGCCAGGCCCCTAATCTGCCATGGGCCCCTGTATACCGCCTCCTCATGCTGCTGCCAGGTCCAGAGTCTCTCATGGGTCCCTGTACGGCCTCCCATTGCTGCTGTCTCCATCGCCACACTCTGCCATGTGCCACTTTCAGGTCTCCTCACACACTGCTGGTGTGTTTCAATTTTTTGACATAGGGTGCTGGCAGATTACGGGCCTCCCATAGCTGCTGCCAGGCCCCTAATCTGCCATGGGCCCCCTGTACCGCCTCCTCATGCTGCTGCCAGGTCCAGAGTCTCATGGGTCCCTGTACGGCCTCCCATTGCTGCTGTCTCCATCGCCACACTCTGCCATGTGCCACTTTCAGGTCTCCTCACACACTGCTGGTGTGTTCCATTTTTTGTCATAGGGTGCTGGCAGATTACGGGCCTCCCATAGCTGCTGCCAGGCCCCTAATCTGCCATGGGCCCCTGTACCGCCTCCTCATGCTGCTGCCAGGTCCAGAGTCTCTCATGGGTCCCTGTACGGCCTCCCATTGCTGCTGTCTCCATCGCCACACTCTGCCATGTGCCACTTTCAGGTCTCCTCACACACTGCTGGTGTGTTCCATTTTTTGTCATAGGGTGCTGGCAGATTACGGGCCTCCCATAGCTGCTGCCAGGCCCCTAATCTGCCATGGGCCCCCTGTACCGCCTCCTCATGCTGCTGCCAGGTCCAGAGTCTCTCATGGGTCCCTGTACGGCCTCCCATTGCTGCTGTCTCCATCGCCACACTCTGCCATGTGCCACTTTCAGGTCTCCTCACACACTGCTGTGTGTGTTCCAATTTTTTGACATAGGGTGCTGGCAGATTACGGGCCTCCCATAGCTGCTGCCAGGCCCCTAATCTGCCATGGGCCCCCTGTACCGCCTCCTCATGCTGCTGCCAGGTCCAGAGTCTCTCATGGGTCCCTGTACGGCCTCCCATTGCTGCTGTCTCCATCGCCACACTCTGCCATGTGCCACTTTCAGGTCTCCTCACACACTGCTGGTGTGTTTCAATTTTTTGACATAGGGTGCTGGCAGATTACGGGCCCCCCATAGCTGCTGCCAGGCCCCTAATCTGCCATGGGCCCCTGTACCGCCTCCTCATGCTGCTGCCAGGTCCAGTCCAGAGTCTGTCTCATGGGTCCCTGTACGGCCTCCCATTGCTGCTGTCTCCATCGCCACACTCTGCCATGTGCCACTTTCAGGTCTCCTCACACACTGCTGGTGTGTTCAATTTTTTGACATAGGGTGCTGCAGATTACGGGCCTCCCATAGCTGCTGCCAGGCCCCTAATCTGCCATGGGCCCCTATACCGCCTCCTCATGCTGCTGCCAGGTCCAGAGTCTCTCATGGGTCCCTGTACGGCCTCCCCTTGCTGCTGTCTCCATCGCCACACTCTGCCATGTGCCACTTTCAGGTCTCCTCACACTGCTGGTGTGTTCCAATTTTTTGACATAGGGTGCTGGCAGATTACGGGCCTCCCATAGCTGCTGCCAGGCCCCTAATCTCTGCCATGGGCCCCTATACCGCCTCCTCATGCTGCTGCCAGGTCCAGAGTCTCTCATGGGTCCCTGTACGGCGGCCTCCCATTGCTGCTGTCTCCATCGCCACACTCTGCCATGTGCCACTTTCAGGTCTCCTCACACACTGCTGGTGTGTTCAATTTTTTGACATAGGGTGCTGGCAGATTACGGGCCTCCCATAGCTGCTGCCAGGCCCCTAATCTGCCATGGGCCCCTATACCGCCTCCTCATGCTGCTGCCAGGTCCAGAGTCTCTCATGGGTCCCTGTACGGCCTCCCATTGCTGCTGTCTCCATCGCCACACTCTGCCATGTGCCACTTTCAGGTCTCCTCACACACTGCTGGTGTGTTCAATTTTTTGACATAGGGTGCTGGCAGATTACGGGCCTCCCATAGCTGCTGCCAGGCCCCTAATCTGCCATGGGCCCCTGTACCGCCTCCTCATGCTGCTGCCAGGTCCAGAGTCTCTCATGGGTCCCTGTACGGCCTCCCATTGCTGCTGTCTCCATCGCCACACTCTGCCATGTGCCACTTTCAGGTCTCCTCACACTGCTGGTGTGTTCAATTTTTTGTCATAGGGTGCTGGCAGATTACGGGCCTCCCATAGCTGCTGCCAGGCCCCTAATCTGCCATGGGCCCCTATACCGCCTCCTCATGCTGCTGCCAGGTCCAGAGTCTCTCATGGGTCCCTGTACGGCCTCCCATTGCTGCTGTCTCCATCGCCACACTCTGCCATGTGCCACTTTCAGGTCTCCTCACACTGCTGGTGTGTTCAATTTTTTGACATAGGGTGCTGGCAGATTACGGGCCTCCCATAGCTGCTGCCAGGCCCCTAATCTGCCATGGGCCCCTGTACCGCCTCCTCATGCTGCTGCCAGGTCCAGAGTCTCTCATGGGTCCCTGTACGGCCTCCCATTGCTGCTGTCTCCATCGCCACACTCTGCCATGTGCCACTTTCAGGTCTCCTCACACACTGCTGGTGTGTTCAATTTTTTGACATAGGGTGCTGGCAGATTACGGGCCTCCCATAGCTGCTGCCAGGCCCCTAATCTGCCATGGGCCCCTGTACCGCCTCCTCATGCTGCTGCCAGGTCCAGAGTCTCTCATGGGTCCCTGTACGGCCTCCCATTGCTGCTGTCTCCATCGCCACACTCTGCCATGTGCCACTTTCAGGTCTCCTCACACTGCTGTGTGTGTTCAATTTTTTGACATAGGGTGCTGGCAGATTACGGGCCTCCCATAGCTGCTGCCAGGCCCCTAATCTGCCATGGGCCCCTGTACCGCCTCCTCATGCTGCTGCCAGGTCCAGAGTCCTCATGGGTCCCTGTACGGCCTCCCATTGCTGCTGTCTCCATCGCCACACTCTGCCATGTGCCACTTTCAGGTCTCCTCACACACTGCTGGTGTGTTCAATTTTTTGACATAGGGTGCTGGCAGATTACGGGCCCCCCATAGCTGCTGCCAGGCCCCTAATCTGCCATGGGCCCCTGTACCGCCTCCTCATGCTGCTGCCAGGTCCCAGAGTCTCTCATGGGTCCCTGTACGGCCTCCCATTGCTGCTGTCTCCATCGCCCACACTGCCATGTGCCACTTTCAGGTCTCCTCACACTGCTGGTGTGTTCAATTTTTTTTGACATAGGGTGCTGCTGCAGATTATGGGCCCCGGGCCTCCCATTGCTGCCTGCCAGGCCCGTAATCTGCCATGGGCCCCCGTACCGACTCCTCATGCTGTGACGTTGCAACAAGGTGGAATTCAACCCTACATATGTTAGACCGCCTTTACGAACAGCGAAAGGCCATCACAGATTTCCTGATGTTACAAGCGGATAAAGGTACTCCCTGTGTAACTTAGATGTCAGCCATTGGCAGCTCATGCGTGACACCTGCCGCTTGCTCAGGCCCTTTGAGGAGGCCACGCTATTCGTGAGTCGGCAGGACTATGGAATGAACGACGTCATTCCTCTGTTGCACGTCCTGGAACAAATGCTGTTAACAATGGCTGGTCAGGGTGCGGTAGACGTGGCGCACAGATCTCAACGCCACATGCCCCCTGTGGGGGCAGGACAGGAAAAGAGGAGGAGGTAGAGGAGGACATTGGTGCTCAGGAATTATTGAGTGAAATGGGTTTTTTCCACTCAGCGGACAGGAGTGGAGGAGCAGGAGCATCTGGTAGGAGGAGGAGGAGGAGACAGAGGACCCAGAAACGCACCGTGGCAGTATGCTGTGGAGATGGAGGCAGGGAGTCCCTCGCATTCCTTGGCACAAATGGCCCATAGCATGCTCGGTTGCTTGCGTAGCGGCAGCCGAATAATAACCATCAGACAGAGGGATGACTTTTGGCTGTCCACCTTGTTGGACCCTCGCTACCGTTCAAAAATGGTGGCCTTTTTCACACCTGCTGAGAGGGAGGCCAAAATAACATACTATAAAAACCACCTATGTAGTCAGCTGGTCTCTGCCTTTCTGCGCCAACGTCCATCCTCAGACACTGTGGGCCCTGTGCGCTCGCGTTCCGCTGCCATGGCAGCAGGGGAGGGGTGGGGGGTGGTAGGAGCAGTGGCAGCTCCACCAGCAGCGGCTGCCTCAGTCTGCAGTCGATGATGAGTAGCTTTCTTCACCAGCGCAGTGAGGAAACTACTAACCAGCCGCAGCAGCAGCAGCATCAGGTGGACCTGGAGCAGGACCTCAAACAACAGGCTTGGGCCTACTTGGACAGCACCCTGCCAACCGAGGTAGACAATCCCCTTGACTACTGGGCAACGAAACTTGACCTTTGGCCCCCAACTAGCTGAATTTGCCCTTGACAGGCTGTCATGCCGGCCAGTAGCGTGGCATCGGAGCGCGTGTTTTAGTGCGGCAGGAGGTATTGTAACTCCGCGGAGGACACGACTGTCCACCCAAAGTGTGGAGAGACTCACGTTTGTGAAAATGAATCAGGCGTGGATTAGTCTGGATTTCAAACCACCAGTTCCTGACACAACTGACTAAATCCGCCATGAATCATGCCCCAAACATGTGCCACTTTCAGGTCTCCTCACACTGCTGGTGTGTTCCATTTTTTGTCATAGGGTGCTGGCAGATTACGGGCCTCCCATTGCTGCTGCCAGGCCCCTAATCTGCCATGGGCCCCTGTACCGCCTCCTCATCATGCTGCTGCCAGGTCCAGAGTCTCTCATGGGTCCCTGTACGGCCTCCCATTGCTGCTGTCTCCATCGCCACACTCTGCCATGTGCCACTTTCAGGTCTCCTCACACACTGCTGCTGTGTGTGTTCCATTTTTTGTCATAGGGTGCTGGCAGATTTACGGGCCTCCCATAGCTGCTGCCAGGCCCCTAATCTGCCATGGGCCCCTGTACCGCCTCCTCATGCTGCTGCCAGGTCCAGAGTGTGTCATGGGTCCCTCTACGGCCTCCCATTGCTGCTGTCTCCATCGCCACACTCTGCCATGTGCCACTTTCAGGTCTCCTCACACACTGCTGGTGTGTTCCATTTTTTGTCATAGGGTGCTGGCAGATTACGGGCCTCCCATAGCTGCTGCCAGGCCCCTAATCTGCCATGGGCCCCTGTACCGCCTCCTCATGCTGCTGCCAGGTCCACAGTGCTGTGTCTCCATCATGCCATGTGCCACTTTCAGGTCTCCTCACACACTGCTGGTGTGTTCCATTTTTTGTCATAGGGTGCTGGCAGATTACGGGCCTCCCATAGCTGCTGCCAGGCCCCTAATCTGCCATGGGCCCCTGTACCGCCTCCTCATGCTGCTGCCAGGTCCACAGTGTGTCATGCCACTCTGCCATGTGCCACTTTCAGGTCTCCTCCACACTGCTGGTGTGTTCCATTTTTTGTCATAGGGTGCTGGCAGATTACGGGCCTCCCATTGCTGCTGCCAGCCCCTAATCTGCCATGGGCCCCTGTACCGCCTCCTCATGCTGCTGCCAGGTCCAGAGTCTCTCATGGGTCCCTGTACGGCCTCCCATTGCTGCTGTCTCCATCGCCACACTCTGCCATGTGCCACTTTCAGGTCTCCTCCTCACACTGCTGGTGTGTTCCATTTTTTGTCATAGGGTGCTGGCAGATTACGGGCCTCCCATTGCTGCTGCCAGGCCCCTAATCTGCCATGGGCCCCTGTACCGCCTCCTCATGCTGCTGCCAGGTCCAGAGTGTGTCATGGGTCCCTGTACGGCCTCCCATTGCTGTCTCCTCGCCACATGGAGGCTGCAGGGTCGCAGCAGTGCAGTGGAGGCAAACGGCCATCAGGGTGTAGAGCACCACGGGCCCACTGCAGCTGCTGCCACCACGGCCAGTAGTGGTGCCGTGTGTGCACGGAGGAAGTAGCAGTCAGCCAGTGAGGAGTGCTGGGGCAAGTTTCCTCCCTGTACGGGTGTGGCAATTTTTGCTGTCAAGCCGCCCGAGGAAGTAAACATGTGCCGTCATGTCGACTATGTACATTTTTTGCCATAGGGTGCTGGCAGATTAGCGTGGCCAGGGGGCCCATGTTGGGACTACAGCGTTGCGTCAGCATATGCAGCGTCGCCATGGTGGCCCCCGTACCGCCTAAAGATACGTGCTGCTGCCTGCCCCAGTGTGTGGGTTCCATTGTTGTCATAGGGTGCTGGCAGATTACGGGCCTCCCATTGCTGCTGCCAGGCCTTAATCTGCCATGGGCCCCTGTACCGCTCCTCATGCTGCTGCCAGGTCCACAGTGTCTCATGGGTCCCTGAACCGCCTCCCATTGCTGCTGTCTCCATCGCCACACTCTGCCATGTGCCACTTTCAGGTCTCCTACTGCTGGTGTGTTCCATTTTTTGTCATAGGGTGCTGGCAGATTACGGGCCTCCCATTGCTGCTGCCAGGCCCGTAATCTGCCATGGGCCCCAGTACCGCCTCCTCCTCATGCGTTGCTGCCAGGTCCAGCAGTCGCCATCATCGGGTCCCTGTACGGCCTCCCATTGCTGCTGTCTCCATCGCCACACTCTGCCTGTGCCACCCAGGTCTCCTCACACTGCTGGTGTGTTTTCCATTTTTTGTCATAGGGTGCTGGCAGATTACGGGCCTCCCATAGCTGCTGCCAGGCCCCTAATCTGCCATGGGCCCCTATACCGCCTCCTCATGCTGCTGCCAGGTCCAGAGTCTCTCATGGGTCCCTGTACGGCCTCCCATTGCTGCTGTCTCCATCGCCACACTCTGCCATGTGCCACTTTCAGGTCTCCTCACACTGCTGGTGTGTTCCATTTTTTGTCATAGGGTGCTGGCAGATTACGGGCCTCCCATTGCTGCTGCCAGGCCCGTAATCTGCCATGGGCCCCAGTACCGCCTCCTCATGCTGCTGCCAGGTCCACAGTCTCTCATGGGTCCCTGTACGGCCTCCCATTGCTGCTGTCTCCATCGCCACACTCTGCCATGTGCCACTTTCAGGTCTCCTCACACTGCTGGTGGGTTCCATTTTGTCATAGGGTGCTGTATGGCCTCCCATTGCTGCTGCCTCCACCGCCACACTGTGGCTCCACACTCTGGTTTTGGCCCCGTGACTGCCCAAATGAGTGAAGTGTGCGGTGATTCTAAGATCGACGGCACTCATCTGCATGTCATACTGACTGACAGTATTATTTCTCTTCCCCAGCAGACTCCAAGGGCATTTAAATTAAAGGTACAGTGTTCTGCACTAATATAAAGGCTCTCTGAAGCCTAGAAACACCCTTTTATAAGTTAAATTCGCAGCGAATATATTCGCATCGAATCAAAATTTTTTCACGAATTCGCCGAATCAGTCGAATCGAATTTTTGAATACTTTCGCTCATCTCTAGTTTACACACATTTATACAACTTAAGGCACGTTTGGCATTTTTTCTGCCCATATGCTCCTCTTCTGAATGCCATTTTGCCCCTAAACACCTTTGCCTCTAAATGACTATGTGAGCATAGGGACATAGGCTAACATAGAGGGGCATTTAGGGGCAGAAAAAAAATGTCAAATGCCTGCAAGACAGGCATTTGAGAGCTGCAGTGTGCAAGAGGCCTTAATGTGCGGTGAAACATGGGGGAAATTTTGACATTACTGTACTGTAACAGGGTCCCTAAGTCACTTAGCAGCCTCAGTTAAGGCAGTCTTCCCTGCCTGTAAAATAACATCACATAAGGGGTTAAATTACTGAGCTGGTCTCTTAGCAAATAAGACGGTGACATGGAAAGTAACATTGACACCCAATCTTTGCATTCTATTCAAACCCGCTTAGCAACAGAGTCAATACAAAACGCAGATTGACCTCTACAGGCCCGGGGGTCAGCGAGATTGCATCTTCCGTGCCATCTATTTCATTAGGGATTCTTCTATAAGTTGCTGTGGATGTGAAAACCCCCAACGGGTCTGTCTGCTAAACAACACAGCGGCCCTCGTTCTATCTCCAATTGATCCAAGTCTTCCTTAAAGCTCAGCAA